AGACTATAACCCCTATAATCCTCTACAATAACCCTATATATAGCAGTTTCCATTTCATTTTCCATTTTCTTTTCCATTTGATTCTCCATTATTAAGGCCCTAACACATATGTAATCCCCCATATACACCCAGTTTCCATTTCATTTTCCATTTTCTTTTCCATTTGATTCTCCATTATAGGGGTCATTAAGGGGGATACTAGGAGTTTAGACTACAACCCCTATAATCCTCTACATAACCCTATATATAGCAGTTTCCATTTCATTTTCCATTTTCTTTTCCATTTGATTCTCCATTATTAAGGATATACACCCAGTTTCCATTTCATTTTCCATTTTCTTTTCCATTTGATTCTCCATTATAGGGGTCATTAAGGGGGATACTAGGAGTTTAGACTATAGCTAATATAGTAGGTACCCCTAATTTTGGGAAACCCTAAACCCTAAACCCTAAACATATGCAGCTGCACCTTAGGCGGGAAGTTCGGCAACTGAGGCACCACAGCCGAAGAGCCTGAGGTCACCAAGCACGCGGAGGCAGGGCCGCGGGTGGGGCTTAGGCGATAGGTTCTCGAGCTTCCCAAAAGTAGGGGTGACATGTTAGTTGGATCGATTCGGCATTTTATTTTTAATATTGCAACATCTAGGGCCATTCAGGCATATTTTCACTTCATATGTGCTTGTATTTCAAGCAAAAAGTAAATGTACATGGATGCAGCACCCGTGCGTTATCGAACATAGCCGGCGATGATTACCACGGATACTCCATGTGTTCTCCTCCTCCGTCCTCCTCGACTACTTCTAGCATTCTGACTGGACCTTGCCTAAGGCATAAACTCCGAAAGCCTAGACTCTGGAATGTGTGCACGCTGAACCCTGAACCTTAAACTCCTGAAACCCATGGAAGAGGGCCCATAAAAAGTCCTCAAACCTCATGGAAACCTTTCTTTGCAGGCTCCCATGCCCTACACTCCACGACCTCGTGTAGATCCAGATGCAATGGTGTTGCCGGAGGCATCAGCCCCGACCCTCCAGGGTTCAGGGTTCAGGGTTCAGGGTTCAGCAGTGACGCTAAATGAAAGTTGAAAGCTGGAAAATACCTTTGATCTTAGGCGGATTTCCTCAGGTCAGGAAAGGAAAGATGTATTCGGGCTCCCACAGTATATATATATATGTATACATGTGTGTGTATATGTACATATACCCCCAGGTTGGGAACCAACACTCCCACGTTGTCCTTCTTGAAGCCCCGTGCATGTGGTGCATGATTCTGCATCATCCTTGTTTTAGACATTTGTAAGTGGTAGACACTACACTGCCTGCCCGCAATCAACGCACATGATGGCGTGACTTTGCCTCCGCAGCAGTTCTTTCAAACCACATTGATATGAGTTGATTCTTGCACACAGCTGCCTAAGCGACCTCGTATGTCTGCAACTTCGCTGATGTGTATGTCATAAAGCTCAGAAGCAGGAAAAGATCTCAAGCCTTAAGCCTGTGAGGTTCCAGGCTTTCCTCTGCCTACGTCACCGATTCCACTCTCGCCTGCTGCACCAATCTCCTTGGCCGAGTCCCTGGGCCTGGGCCTCAGAATTCATGTTTGAGGGTTTTGTTACTTCTGCAGATACCTGGCATGCAGGTCAGGTGACCCCCCAGCGTCAGCCACTGTCGCTGGTGAATTCCTTGACACCTACCATGGAGATGCCATCGCCCTTCACTGTCAATGGACGTGCGGGAGCAGGCCGGGAGAGTTGACCTAGCATTTAGATTTGACGGTTTGGATGGCGGGTTTGGAATTCCGTCCGTCCAAATCACGGGCCCAGTTGTTATACCCTGTGAACTGGTGCCAGAAATTTTCCCCGACGTGTCAGCAGCAGTTGGCAGCAGGCGTGAGTGCACAGCGCTTAGCGAAGACCCTCGCTGCTGTCGCACGGTACAGGTATGATTGGCGGCAACGGCATCTACAGCTTTACTCTTCGCAAGGCGTTGGATGGGTCAGCAATCGGCAAAGACTGCATGCATCTTTTGAAAGGCACAGGGTAGATTCCCTAGGTAAGGGGACCCCAACATAGACCCCCAAATCCTGAAATCCTTCTAGGGAACTACCCACATGCCTGCCTCCGACCAAGCGGGGAGAGCATTTCCTGCGACTGCAGAAGGCAGATGGTGCTGAGCTCGGGCTCAATGTGTCGCACTCCACGGAAGCCGGGAGCTCATCAGGGCTTCTGATGAGGGGTCGGGAGCTCCATCCACATCAAAGATCATAGAATCCTCCATAAATTAGAGTTTGGAGTGAGAACGCTTTTTTGGGAGGATGGACGGATACTAGCAACTGTAAGAGCATCGACACAGAGAATGTGCCACAATTCTGCCAAGGAGTTTCGCATCTAAAGGCAGCCACCGATGGAATATTCGGGGAGTTTCACGGCCTAGGGATAGGTCGAAAAAGGCAGATCTTCAGCCCAGCGTGCAACCGTCAAGCAGCAGCGTGTCCGTCAGCTCAGCTGTAGCCGAAATAGAAGCGCGATGTACGATCTTCTTCACACAGTATGATGTGCAGGCACATTTGGTAGTTTCCCTAAGTAAGGGGACCCCAATATAGACCCCAATGTACTATGCATGGGGACCCCAATTGCCAATAAGGCACCCCTAATTTGGGGAAAGCCCCATTTGTAGGCAGGCTGCTTTCGCTGAGGAACGTGTGCTGTGTGTGGAGAGTATTCGGCCTGGTGGAGCCGTGGATTCGTGGAACCGTCAATGCCTAGGCAATTGGGTTAGATGCAGCCATGTGAGGACATGTACAGTGTGCAAGAGGAAGCCTTTGACAAGCAGTCTTCGTGACGTACCCCCAGAGGTCTGTAAACACTGTAAACCTTACTCTGAAGACGCCCCGGAGTAGCACACACTACCTGACACAAGCTGTCATGGAGCTCAAGCACAACCAGGGGAATCAGGGGCAAGCTCCTGTTTCATTGACAGGAGGTCCGGTCGCTGAGAAAGCTGTGAGACATGGGGCCTCTTGACAACCAATCAGGCGTCGGAGATCTGGGCGAAGGGTCTAGCGAGCAGATTAGCTTGGGCTATGATGCTTACCAGCTGGTGCCCGCCTGTTGAACGGGAAACCCCTTGCTCATTGAACAGCGAGCACACAGTAAGGATCGCATTATCAGCGTCAACCACATCTGCTATGACCCAAACAAAATGCTCCAGGCCCGTGCAGTTTTGTGGTTATCACAACAGTCCTTGTGTCGTTTCGTCAGAGGCAGCAACGATGCTTCCTCGTGCCAGGAGTGCAAGGAAAAGCAGCTCTTGAAGCTGACGATCGCGCGTGGGAATGTCTCATTGCCTTCAGCACCAACACAGGCGGCATGTAGTTCGATGGTCGAACTCTTGTGGCAGTCAGCTTGACTGACAGCAGGGTGTTATGCGTTGGGTATGACACACAGAATATGCAACCTGGCCTGCCGCTCTGCGTGCGTTTGTTGCAGGTCCAAAAATGGACAGAGTCTGAAATTTGCGTTTCATGCCTGCCTGTGAGTCCTACTTGATGGCATACACGCGCGCACTTACAAGGTAAAGGCTGCGCATGTGGCACGAATGCAATTGAAAGCAGGTATCAACTGATGCATTTTGATGAACGATGCATGCAGGACAACACAATCAGCTGTCTTGCACCCTGCGATTTGAGCAGTTTCCCATCAGCACCTGCGTGTGTCTAAAGTGTCTAGAAGACTGAGCAAAGCCCAACCCTCAAATAAAACATGATCCAGAAGTCCGACAGACTGGCCCGTGGTTCATATTCTGCCGTAGCACGAAAGCCACAGTCCGGTGTGAGAGCAGCCGTTTGTCAGGGCATCCACGCCTAGGCACAATATGCCTTAACCCTAAGTCCTAATCCTTCATTCCTAATCCTAAACCTCGCATGGGATGGGTTTAGCGTCTGCTCATAGAGGTTTGTAGAAGGCTTGACTGTCCAAAAGATGCAACCCCCAAAAACTCTCATTCAGGCCAAGCTATAGTTAGCAAGTAATGAAGGAATGGATCCTTACAGTCGCCCTTTGCAGAAATCCTCAATAAAATAGTAGCTTCCAATCTCTTTTCCTAAATAATCCCAATATACTACAGTAGTTTCCATTTCATTTTCCATTATCCCTATAATCCCGATATACCATTATAATATAGTAGTTTCCATTCTCTTCCATTACCGCTATAAAGCCCTATATACTGTAGTAGTCTCCATTCTGTCTTCCATTAGCCCTATAAAGCCACTAAACCCTAAACCCTATACTATAGTAGTTTCCATTTTCTTTTCCATTATCCCAACATAACCCCAATATAACCCTAATAATCCCTATAATCCCTGTAGTTTCCATTTTCTCTTCCATCATTCCCCACACTCATTGTGGGGTTCTAATTGTTTCGATTTTTTGCACTCAAACTTCACCAAAACCAGCTTTCAGGGACCTGGATCGGCATCTCTGCGTGCAGAAGCCTCCGAGTTTGCCTGGGACTTAGGTGAAGCAGGACTCAATTGAAAGAGTGAATATGTAGAGTTTGGGATTTTGGAGGTTCGGGTTCAGGGTTTCCGCAGTAAGGTTCAGCGTCTAGGATTTTTTGACATGATGCGTTGCTTTTGGGGTCCCTGTGATAGTTGGATCCTTAGGTTGGGCTTTATGCCAATACCTCTAGTACTTAACACCCCCCCCCCCAAACATCATGCATTCCCCATAACATCCAAGTGACATGCAGGACATGTTTGACATCAGGAGCTTGGAGTGTTTAATGTTACGGGAGATGATTGTAACGGACATGCACCTGTTCAAGATGCATGAGCTTAACCCATGAGTCTTGCCTGAAGAGACTTCGCTGCAACGCGTTTCAGGTTCAGCCAAAGCATAATCACAATGATAGTAATACTAATAACTAGTAGTAATGATAATAATACTTGTAATACCCACAATATTTTTCGTACTGATAATATACAAGTGTTGACAAGTCTTCGCATTTTCTGTTCCCCCAAGCGGGTGCCCTGTCACTGCCCTGCTCATAGATGCTCTTTGCTGTCTTTGCTTGTGTCTGCGAACTTTTTCAACCCATGCAGCATCCCTAAACCCTAAACCTTATGCAACCCCGTTTCTAAGTTCCCCCTCCCTCTTAGACTCTGCTGCTGTTTCAGGTGCCCGGCATGACACCCAAGCCCACCGCAAATGGTACAGACGACAAGAAGGACCTGGCCTTGGGAAGCAAGAGAGATGGGTATTTTTCACAAACAGGGGTGGTTTAGGGTTTAGGGCCTACAAAAAATACCAGAAATACCACAGGTCTTGTGTCGGGGACTCCTGCTGAGTTGGTTGCCGTGAAGGAGCTTCTTTTTACTTGCCATAGTAAGGACCACCCCCCATTATTTACTGTATACACATGCTATGGCAACTTGAATTGAATTAAGTTCCTTAACACCCTAAACCCTAAACCCTAAACCCTAAACTATGGTAACTTGAGTTGAATTAAGTTCCCTAACAGCTACTCAGTCTTTTTTTGATATTGGGCCTGCAGCGCTGCAGGATGAAGTTCCCAAAGAGGAAAGTGAGGCCGACCACTAAACGGAAGGCAGGGTGGGGTCGTTTATTGAGGGTCCCCATAACAAGCATTAAAATATTTCGGGGGTCTATATTGGGGCGCCCTATTTCTGGAAACTACTACATGAGATTGCACCGTCCCTTTTGCCGACTTTGCGAGGTATCGCCTCAAACCGGCTTGTTGTAGCTTGGTTTAAGTTCTGCAACAGCAACCCAGTTCACGGGATATTGCCTCAAAGGACTGCTGAGTAGGTCGGAGGCAGTTAGCAAAGGGTGGCAGCATCAAGCGATCGGGTCAGGCTGAATGGAGCTTGCGCAAGCAGCGCGGCATGCGTGAGCGAGCTATTACGCTTCTGAAAGCTTGCAGCAAGTTCAGGATTATCCTACACAGGTGTTTTAGAGAAATTGCGTGCAGCAGGCTAAGCCTGGGCCATGTTGGGCTGTTGATTCCAATTGCGCTCCTGAACTTTGTTTGCAGATCGTGTTTTTTCCCGGGGTCTGTTTTTTGACGCTTTGATTCTCTTTCTGCTCTGTCAATATCCCTGACGAAGTCGAGGAACCTCAGATCTTAGCTAGGCTCGTCGTCACAGTGGGCCATGGGACTTGCGTTCCACCATGGCCTCAAGGCTACCAGCATTCTGTACACAAGAGTTTTTTTTCACTGATCTGACCTGCATAGCGAGCAGGAATTGACGAGCTTTGCGCACTGTGTCCTCTTAGCTCGGTAGCGATGCCATGTCCGAAGCGCAGAACTTAGCTCGGAAAGACACGGAGTTAGGTACAACTCGAGGGACAACGTCTCGAATTACCTTCAGTTCATTTTCAGGCACTGCAGCTGTGAGACGGTTGCCCTTTTGAGTAGAAATTGAGGCTGGCAGGCCTTGATGCATGGGTCGCCAAACGCACTAGTGGAGCTGTGCAGGTGCAAGAGTTTGCAAAACACCTGCGCGAGTAGCAGGCTCCGTACGGTTAGCTGCTTTCTCCGCTCCAGCCCGAACTAATATCCAACCAAGCTTTGCTTAAACCGGTATAGATGTAGCACTACAGCCTTTCATGCCAGGACTGGAGAAACCAGACTTGGGGCAGGTGTGCATGAACTCGAGTATGTTCTAGCCCTGGCCATGCTGACAGCAGTGGGACTTCTCCAGAAGGCCCTGAGGCTCTCACCGGGCTTCTGAGGCCACCCGATGGCCAGCCTCAAAGCAAGGCGCTTTGAGAGGTTTCTGTAAGTCACACCTTGCCATGGCACTGCCCGCAGTGCCGAGATGAGCCACCCAGTTCCCGTGGGGTCAGTTCCCGCACAGCTCTCGCTGCATACTCCGCGATTTCGCGTGTGAATCCATGTGGTTGTTTTGTATGCATCGTGATTAATGTCCATGCATACTGTTTTAGCTGCGCGAACTGAAGGGGCTGGAGGGCTCGCGCGCTACCTGTGTCAATGAGATGTTCCTGCCATCGAATCGTGTCACCAGCAGGAGAAAAGGGGTTCTGAGAGCTGGCTTGATGACATAATCTGACATGGGTACTATTTCGGTGATTGTGTGGGATTGCTGAATAGGGATCTGCTGCCCGATCCCCCCTCAAACAACATTTTCGGCTCAAAGCTGAAGGAGTGCCTTGGAATTGTGAAGGGTTTGGAGAGTTCCAAAACGTAGCGGCCCCCTTTGGGGAGTCCCTCTGGTAAGGTTTGTAGTACATTGGGGTCCATGGTGTCTTGTCTTTTCTTTGGAAGCTGTGCGTCTGGTTTGACAGAGCCATACCTTGTTTGACGGCTTTGATTCTGACTGAGGCAGGATGGTTTCCTTCTTCCTGCCTTGTACCCATCTGGAGATAGGGTTAAATAGCACGTAAAGCACCTTCTTTTTGAGGTGTCTAGTGCGTTCTCGACTGCCCTTGAAAAGCCGAAGGACAGACTTATTCAGACCCCTGGTCGTGCCCATGACCGCATATGGGTGCGACCAGGGGTGTGAAT